GTAACAGTCTTGAGCCATAATCCTCTTAGCACATTACTGCACACCAGAGCTGTAGCTACCTCCTTTTGGGCCCGAGGCAAGAACAGAAAATTGTTGCCCCCCCAACAGACGTGTGATGTCACCTGAAGCTGCACACACATGGCATCATTTGATGTCATGCACCCCGCCTCCAGGATGGCGGCGCGTGTGAGCAGAATGCGCTAGTGGACAAATCCAAAATAGCATAAAAATGTGTTTCTGCATTTGATGAAACTAATGAAAACATTTTTTTTAGTCTTTGCACATGTCTAATAATATGTGGTTATTTTTTATCATGATTATTTTTGTTATTTTTTTTCATTGTTGGGGGGGGGGGGGCTTTGGGGAAATATTAGGGGTCTAAACAGACCCCTGACATTTCCCCTTTGAAATAGAAATTGAGGATATTGAGCCTCTTTTTCTGCAGCATCTGTTCTAAGTGAATGGAGATTACTCAGTACAGAGGCTTCCCCCTCCCTCCGCGTCCCCTCCTCCCGTTGTTGCGCTGTTCCCGGGCTCCTGTGCGAGCCCGGGGCCAGCACAGTGCCACTCTGACAGGGGATCAGAGGGAGGTCGGTACACGAACTCCCTCCGGTCCCCTCTACGCTGTAAGAATGCGGAAGTGATGTATATTACATCACTTCCGCATTCTTGTGTCACTCTCCAGCTTTAAACGCTGGAGAGAAGCTAATGAAGCAGACCTCCACTTCATCAGCTTCTTCGGGGGTCCTAGGTGACATTAGGGGTCTTGGAGATCCCTGATGTCTCCATAAAGAGGACCTGTCACATCTTTTGCTATCACATAGGAGGGGTTTCTTAGCCCCCTATGTGATTGCAATAAAGTTAGGTGAAAAAAAAAATGAAAAAAAAAATTAGGTTTCCCAAAATTTTTTTTAAAGTTACACATAAAAAAGAATTTAAAACACAATATTTTTTTTTAAAAGTCCCCCCATACATACACGCATGCAAACATGCGTCAGGTGCGCATACCTGCGAAAACGACGATTGCGCCCATTAGGCCGCACATGTTACATATCGCCGCTAACGTCGCAGTTGGCGGCGATTGAGAGCAATATGGTTGATGTATCTGTTATTGAAGTGTCATTCTGAGCCTGATGAAGGGGACCCCCTGCGGCCCCGAAAGCGCTTGTGTATTGGATGGCAATGTGCCATTAAAATGGATCATTGACTAACAAAAACTGGTGTGCTGGTGACATTATTCCTTTATTCTGTGATTCAAACGGTGCCTTCCGTGGTCACTACAAGCACCCACCCAGCTTGGGGTTACTCTGGTTAGGAGTGCAGCAAGACATCTTGTTTTTGATGTTTTTGAGAGCAATATTGAGAGCAATAATTTTAGGGTCATCAATCACTGATAACACTAAACGGATGAGCGGTAAAATCTTTTAAAGCGTCGCCCATGGTCAGTTTTGGGTATGGTGTTTTTTTGCGATTTTGTGAGTGCGCGCAATTTGTAAGCTTGACATGTTTGGTGTCTATTTACCAAAAAATTGGGTGATAATAAATGTTTCCTAACATGTAAAAAAAACCTTTTGTTCTGGGACGGGAGGGGGCGTGGCGGCACCAAAGCCACGCCCCCTGTTTTTAAAACTATGATCCGGTCCCCAGCAATGTCTGAGGGACAGTGAACTGGCCCCATGTTTAAAAAGTTTGAGGACCCCTGCTCTATACGATGTGCAGAGCGAAACTCCCGCTCTGCGCATGCGCAGCGGAGAACAAACACGCGCAGGCGCAGCTGAGAACAAATACGCGCCAAGAGGCGCACAGGAAGTTACATCATAGATGGATTCACCGCCCTATTTAAGCCCAGCTCAAACGCCCACTAGTTGCTGGTTTGTCTTGTCAGCTTGATCGTGTTCCTTGTCTCCCGTTTAGCCTTGTCCTGTATATACCTGATTCCCCTGGATTTGACCTGTTCCTGTGTAAACGACCATCCTTGCTTGCTGCCTGCCTTTTGACCTCTGACTGTTTTGGATATTCTTCGGCCTGCTCCCTACTTGTACTGAATTGGATTTCCTGGCTTTTGACCCTGGCTCGTTGTGACCTCGATTACTGGACTTTCCTAAAGGACTCGTGCCTCTCCCTGTCTGCCTGGCCTTTGTCCTCAACCTCAAAGGTCACAAGACACGAGGTGCAAGAGAAGCCTCCTCTCACTTCGGCCTCCCTACCAGGTACGTGATATCCGCTCTGCCATCATGAGCACTGAAGCCAGCGAGTGGAGGAGGGAGTGCTGAAGCCGGGGGGGGTGAGAGGGAGGAGCGCTGTTACTTCAGGATGGCCAAGCAGTAGACATGTGCGATTCATTTCGTTACGAATCGAAATTCGTACGAATTTTCCTGAAATTACGAATTTCGGAGCATCCGAAATCCGAATGGCAGTTTCCGAATTATATCCGAAATACGAAATTCCGTTAACGAATTTCGGATCCGAATTTCTTTGAAACAGGAACTAATATTACCCCTGTAAATGAGGTTGAACAACATGACAAGATTTTTTTTTAAATCCGAAATACGGATCCGCTGCTGCTGAGGGTTGCATTACAATACACAGGCAGGAAATACGAAATTCCGTTGACGTATTTTCGTTCCGTTACGAACATTCGTTATATTGAAGTTAAAAAGCAAAGTACATTTATATTGGAGTTGATGGTAGTTTTTGTTTAAAGTCCGAAATACGGAATTCGGAATACGGAATCCGTTAACGGAATTCGTATTTCGGATAAAAAAACAACTACCACTCCAATATTAACAAAGGTATTTTGCTTTTTAACTTCATCATAACGAATGTTCGTAAAGTTACGAAAATATAACCGCCACTAACGAAAATTCGTATTTCGTACGAATCCGAATCCGAATTGAGTTCAGTTACGAATTACAAAATACGAAATAATGGATATTCCGAAACGAAACAGAACAAATTTTTTGACGGCGCACAAGTCTACCAAGCAGTGAAGAGAGAAAGACCTTCCGGCTGTCAGATCCTAGCCAGATCTGAGGAGAAGCTGGAGCCTGTGCCACCCCTCTTCTCCCTGCTGAGCCAGGGCTGTGTTGGCCGCCTGGCGCCCCTGTTGCCATGGCGTCCTGTGCTCGCCATGGCAACAGGGGCGAGGGGGTGCAGCCAGGTCGGCCCTGGCTGCGCCCCCGCCCCATGGTAGCTACAGCCCTGCTGCACACCTCTATTGCACCAAATATTGGCAAACCCATTTTCTCTACCATTAATTATTTAATGCAGAGTTTCACTTGGGACTGTTTTTACAATTGCAACGCTAGTCACATCTTTCATTTTAAAACCTTTGTTGGCACATCCAAAAAAGTTTTCTGTACGCCAAATATTTGGTGCAATGACTATAATTTATCTGGTCCATTGTGTTGTCAGCTCAGGGAGGTAGCAGCACACTATAGTTCTGGCACATCAACAGCTATTTTCCTGTACTTGCAGCATCTTTAGGGGATATAATACAGAACAATGTGCATGTCTGACAGAGTTGTATTAAATACTTTTTTTTAACCACTTCCTTTGATGATTCTAATGATTCTTTTCCATAGATACAGTGCGGTGAGTGAGCGTTGTCAAACTAGGTCAAGAAGCGTGATATTTGCAGGATCACCAGATAAAAAAAAGAAAGGCCTGAAAAAGAAAATGAATGCAACCACCACATCAAAGAACCAGTAAGCTGCAATAAATTACAATTTCATTCTTGGGTTTAGATCTACTTAACCTAATATCAATGCACTAGTTAATTTGATGCTTTTTGATAAAGCATTTTGATTCCATCAAGGAAAAAAACTCTCCATCTGTCTCTCAAACCATGCCACAAGAGAATCCAAGACTTCATTATCGCTTCCAAAACGTCTTCCTTACTAGGGATCTTTCAGTCTTGGGAAATGTGGCAGTCCCTGGGGGCAAGGACTAGTGAGTAGAGGGTATAGTCTATTAATTCCAACCCTGCTTCATTGATGGAAGCCAAAGTAGCAAAGGTCTTGTGTGCTGATGCATTGTTCTGGTGGAAGAGGACTTTTTGAAGCTACTTGCCTCACTTCTTCTCCTTGATCATACTCCAGCAGTAGACAAAAAGGTTAGACAGGTGCAATCCAGTGTCATTGCTGACAATAACGATTACGTCATTACTGTACGACTGTTAAAGGTTTTTCATATAGTCTCTGAGCGGAATGGCACTGCACTCCTGTTGTATTATATAACAAAAGACTAAAAATTGAAAGGGGCTTTGAAGGTGCCTATTGACATAGCCAAACATAATAACAAGAAGTGTTTTTTTATAAAAACATATTTTATCACAATATGTAAAAAAGAATAGGTTACATCAAAAACACCATTGATGTACTGAAAATCTTCAATTAGGTTGTACATATGTAAAGAGTCTCCAAATACCACCCCAGAAACAAAAGATTAGATGGAATAACCAATAACAGATAGTTGTCCCAAAGACTTCAGCATCAATTGCAGATTGTAACCTGGGGGGAATGGTTTTATCAGTGATAATACGTTTTAACAAATTTTGAATAAAATATGTTTTTATAAAAAACACTTATGTTTAGCTGTGTGCCAATAGGCACCTTCAAAGCCCCATTCGATTTCTAGTCTTTAATATAAGTTACTGGATGACCACACACCGCCATATTCCAACTGCTTCTTTATTAATTCATAAAATAGTCACACAGGAGATGAATGGAGACCTCTTAGAGGTCTCCATTCATCTTCTGTGTGACTATTTTATGAATCATTAGTCACACAGAACCCCTCTATTCATCACAAGGCCTTCTAGAGGTCTCAATTCACCTCCTATGTGACCATTGTATAATTCAATAAAGAAACAGTTGAAAAATGCTGGTGTGCTATCATCCAATTTCTACATAATAGGAACAACGGTTAGACACTTGAAATGTGGTGTACACACATTAAAAAACAACACAACACACTGTAACATACTAACACCATCCTAATCAAATGTCACTACTTTCATGTTTGACTGCGGGCTTTTGGGTCACCTCTATTAAAGCTGTCTCCTGTTTTTTTTCTTTCCTGTGTTTTACTTTCTTGCGGAGATCTTTAGCTATTTTCTTTTCTGTATCTTCTAAAAGTGAAGTCAGCAGGTTGATCAGGAGTGAAAGCCACGCAAGACCAAATATGATCCAGAAATACACCAAGGCGCGGTACCCTTTACTTTCATAAGCACGCTTCTGCCCTAAAAATAAGAAAAGAATAAGCTCAGTTAAATCCCAACTCAGGCTCAGCCCTCCACCCCTCTAGTGTTCTCACCTCCCCTTCGAATCACCCTGCTGTCTTTTTGATATAATAAGCCTTTTCTAATGTCTTCAGGTCAGTCACATGGCATGCTTTGTTCTCTTAGGATCACCTCCCAGTGTTGGGTGGCCCTGGATGCAGAGAGCAGTGCTGACGTACTAAGGCGAGCACTACTCTCTACATCATTACACTGTGAGTGTTGATAGTGAGGTCCCCTCAGGGGATGGGTCCATGTCACCCTACTTACATGTTCAACTTGGAAGACCAAGGACATTTTGTTTTCGGGAATAGTATTACTGCAGGGAACAGTGTCAGAGAGAAGGTGTATTAGAGTCAGAGCTGCTTTTTATTTTAACCCCTTCGTTTTTTAAATTAAATTTAAATAAAAGAAATCTAATAATAATAATGAAATTTTTTTTAAAAAGTCCCCCGCCCCGTGGGGGGTTCTAAGTAATTTTCAGGCCTAAAATGTGGAATATAACATGGGTACAAAAAATGAAAAAAAGGCCTCAGTCATGAAGGGGTTAAACACTGACTTGGGCTCTGTTTTCTTAAAAGAAAAATAAATGCCCACAAGTGAACAATAAGCACTACGCCTTCTTGTAAAAGGAAAGTGGAAAGTGTAGTTCATGAGGAAGACTGCATAAAGGAAATTTTTTGAGGCTGGCCTCTTGTGATTACAAATGGCTACCAGTCCTGTGGTTTTTAGAGGGTCTGCTGCTTTCTGGGACAGTAACTGCAGGTAACCACCAAAACACTACCTACAACAGGGGTAGGCAACCGTGGCATTCCAGCTGTGTTGAAACTATAAATATCATCGTGCCTCTTTCTGTGAGAGTCTTGCAATGCCTCATTGGGACTTGTAGATCCACAGCAGCTGGAGTGCCCCAGTTGCCTACTACTGACCTACAAAGTGCTATTGGGCTTCATATATATGTACAATGTTACTGTTCTATGCATATCTGGCAGTGTTTTAATGTGTTCCAACCCATGTCATTGACTCTTTTGTTGGAGTTTGGTCTGTAAGGCAGTGTGGGAAAAATATAAATAAAGACCTGTGAAATTAAAAAAGAATGAATTCAAAAGTAATAGATCTTTACCTCCACCCTCCAGGCTACAAGATGGCTGGTCTACATTGGCTGGGTAAGTCTTAAATAAAAAGTGTTCTGTCAAGGAAAAAATGTTGCCCCTCTCCCTCCAACCTATTGCAACCCACCCTCCCCTGCCCCAGATACCTACCTGTATCTTTCGGATGTGGCCCACTGCAATGTTTACATCTTGCAGGGAATTCTTCTTTGTGCTGGCAGTGTCAGTACAGTTGATCCCCATAGACTTCTATAGGACTGTCTCCAAAGGTGCAGGATATAGGTAAGTATACATCTGGGGTGGGGGAAGTTGTGTTACTTTAGGTTGGGGGGGCAGAAAAGACTAGTGTACTTTCTGTTAGCGTACACGTGATTTTAAACCAAATCTTTTCTACACAGCGAAACCCAGATACACATGGATTTACTAGATGGCAGTAACCATCACCACAAATCAACCAATCAGCAGCTTTCTGTCTCTCCGCCTAAGGCACAGCTTTGCTCTTTGCAATGGTCTTATTAAATAAAACTCATGTCGGGCAAAGTGACAGTGTCTTTGCAAAGGGCATCCCTGACGCTCTTACACTTATCTTACCCCCTGCACCACCAAAGACCCCAAAACATTGCCAATTTCAGTTCTGGCTGCAGAGGAGCAAGTAGCTGTGATAGAGCACTGGAAAGGTGAGTACAGAGAGTCGGGAAATGCCCTTTCTACAGACACTGTCACATTGCCGTGCATGGACAAGGTGACAGGTTATTTTTAAAGTGTGGGCCTGTGATTAGTTATGAAAAGGTCACATACCAGATCCTACTACATAATCGCCAAAGCCGATGGTGCTCAGTGAAATGAAGGCATAATACACTCCTTCCTCGTATGTCCAGCCCTCTGTTTTACTAAATACCAGGGGTGGAAATCCCAGAAATATGAAAATGCCCATCACAAGGAAAAATATTATTGTCAGGACCTTTGCCGTTTTCTGAGGGGAAAAAAAAGAAGTGCTGTTATTTATTACTTTAATATACCGAAGGACAGAGTAAAGTGATATCACAGATTTGTTTATATAAGAGAGCTATTATTGCAATTACAAATGTTTAGGCATTCTCGTGTTTATTTCTTTTTGTTGTATTGGTATTGGTATTTTTTAAGCACTGAGTGCTGGTAGAATGTAGAAGGGTAGCAAAGGACTATTTTCAGGGGTTATGTTGAGGGTAGGGGAGGGACTCACTTAGTTGTGCTTGTAGCCATTGCTGATAGCCGTGTCACAATAACCGATGCAAACATGAATGTACTGAATCCCTTGGATAATGTTTCTTTTTAAATTATTGAAGTTTTGGGATATAAAATATAGACAAAACAAAATTTTAAAAAACCCACTCACCTTTTTTACTCCTTTTTTAACCAAAAGCTTTCCAAATCCTTTACACCAATGAGAAAGATTTTTACCAACATGACTGAGAACAATGACATTCAAGGGGATTCCAAATAATGCATAGGCCATACAAAACATCTGCCCACCCACCGTTCTGGGGGCAATTGTCCCATATCCTAAAAGGGAATAACAAAAATATAAGTGAGATATTTCTAAATAAAACTTGAGGGGAAAAAAATAGAATAATTTGGACTTGTTGCCTATAGCAAACAAGCATGATCTAGCCTAACCCTAGATGAATAGGTACCTTTCCAAGCAATGCATTAATATTCAGTGTAGGGAGAATGGAATTGGTAGTTTTGGTGCAGTGCTCCTGGTGCTGATACTAATAACCTATCCGAATAGCCCCTCACACTATTCCCCCGTAATCCTAACAATATTTTTATCTTTAACCCAAGCATTAACCCTTTCTGTAACCTTAATGATAACTAACATTAATCCTCCCTGTAACACTAATCCTCCCTGTAACTCCAATGTTCACCCTAAAACTAACCCTTGCTGTTACACATTTTACCCTTCCTGTAACACTAGCCTTAATCTTGTCTTTAACCCAAATCCTAACTCTCTTTCTACCCCCAACTCTTACCTCCCTGGTAACCCCAATATTAAGCCTAAAACTACAGTAACCCTCCTTGTACCCCAACATCATCCTTCTTGCCACCTTAATTCTATCCCCTCTGTAACCTTATCCCCAAATCTTCCTTGTAACCCAAACACTAATCCCTGCAATCCTAATGTGAACCCTCCCTGTAACTGTAACCCAAACACTAATCATCCATATAATCCTAACATTGACCCTCACTGTTACCATAATCCTAAATCTTTCCTGTAATCCAAGCACTAATCCTTCCTGTAATTCTAACATTAACCCTCCCTGTGCCCAAACATTAACCCTAAAACTAATAAACTAATCCTCCCTGTAACACTATCTTTAATTCTCCCTGTATCACTAGCTCTAAATCTCCCTGTATACCTAACTCTAACCCTCCCTGTAACACTAATCCTAACTCTTGCCAATGCTCCTCGGCTCTATCTAGCTGCTGTGATGCGGTGTGAATCTGAAAGTCAGATGTTTGCAGAGTGAACAGCTCAGCGAATGCTTTATAAATACACCCCTATGTGTGTATAAATTATGACTATAGATTAAATGGTTAATTTATTGCCATATTTAATGAGGAATAAACTGGAGTAGAGCAAGTTTTTGATTTTATCACTGGAAAAATGCACAAATATATAAAGATCAGATCTTACCTATGGTGGTCACTACTGTTCCTGCGAAAAATAGGGCGCTGCCAAAATCCCAATTAGTGTGGTTGGGTAATGTGCCATTCGCTAAAGGGTTTAACCCCTGTTGGACTGCTTCTGTAACAACCTGATGTAAAGAACACATTTTAGTTGCATTCATTTTATGCAAATGAACAGTTATGAAATGAATAGAGATCATAGATGTTTCCAAAGTAGGGCTGCATTTAGAAGTCACCTGCCCTTGGCACATATTAATTCATTACAGGTATTATTATATAGCGATGACAATTTACTCAGCACTTTACATTTAGAGCAAATTCGAATCAGTCCCTGTCCTCAAGGAGTTTACAATCTAAGGTCCCTTTACTTCGGCTGTCGCATCTGTGATTGGTCCTCCTCCTCTTTCTCCGGCTCCCTGACACCGTGCTGCCCGACTGCGGACCTCTGGTGAGACACCATTGCTCAGACAGCCTGAGAGTCGCACAGCCCATCTGAGAGTCTCACAGCCTACCTGAGAGTCACACAGCCCACTTGAGAGCCTGCACAGCCCACCTGAGAGCCCGCACAGCCTACCTGGAGACATCAGGGCACCAACCCAGAACAGCACAGAGTATGTAGCTTCATATTATTTTGTATTGCTGTATAATGTATTGCTAGGATTCATAGTCCTCTATAGCTGACCTCCTTACTCCCTCCCCTGGCTGCCTCTTCTCCCTCTCTCCTCTATATTGTTCACAAAAAAAATTGCCACACGCGGCGCTAGAGTGTTCGGGTTTCATTTGTAGAAAAGGTGGCAACCCTAGACTCTACCCAGCGGTACCCTGCTGAGTGAAACCTTTAGCAATGCAATCAGAAAAGCTTGTGCTCTCTGCTGCTTAGAGAACTCTAGCTCTGACTCAGCAGGGGCCATGCCAGACCTCTGCATAGAGAATACTGCTTCCGCACACAGGTAAGTATACACTTGCAAATATACTGGAAAACTCTACACCAACCTGAAGATCCCTACTCTAATCTATAGGAACACCAATACTGGGATCTTTAAAGCAAGGAATAAGGAGCCCACTTGCTCAATGCAGCTGCAGATCTTACACGTGTATGGTTCCAGCTGATCAAAAAGATTAAATGGCATAAGAGCAATGCATGTACAATGTACCAGGAAATTGCACAATAGGAGCAGGCAGTAACTATGTACAAACTACATTCAAAACATCCAAAACATTCAGCCAGCAAAACTCATTAAAGTCTATTTTAAGTATTTCTATATTTGTAAATGCTTGGGAAAGCCCGAGTACCAGGGTTGCATTGTTCTACTCTATCCATAAAAAGAATAACCACGGATATCTACAGTATACAGCAATGTAAATACACAGAGCATTGCAAAACTGCTGTGGGGAACTGCTGTAGTGAGACTTAATGCTGTAATTTCCTACAACTGTCAAGAATAAACAACAGGTCCACCAAACACCTTGTTACATACAGGGTGTCATTCTCTATGGGGGTTATTCAAGGGGGTTATTCACAGAAGAGCCGAAGGATGCAGCCGTAGCTTCAGCTGATCCTCTGGCTCTCTTCGGCCGCTGGAGCCCTTCAGTTCAGTCGAACCGAAGGGCTGCTGTACGGGCTATTCACTATAGCCCGTACAGCACCCAAAGGCGGCTGAGTGGCTCAGCTGAGCCGAAGGCATATGCCTCGGCTCCACTGAGCCGAAGTGTCAGCCGAAGCGGGGCGATTTTGCTCCACAAATGACAGCTGGGTGGAGCCGGTCATGATCTCACGGCTGGGTCTGCCCAGTTGCAATGACAGATCAGCGCCCCCAAATTACCTGGGGGCACTGATCTGTCATTAAACAATAACAACTGGGCGGAGCAAGCTGTGACGTCATGGCCGGCTCCACCCAGTTGTTATTCATTGGCCAGGACCTGCTAGAAGACTCTAGCAGGTCCCGGCCAATAGAAAACAGTTGGGCGGAACTAGCTGTCACTGCTGGCTCCGCCCAATAGTTTTTTTTCTATTTTAAAAATCTTTATTTTTTTATTTTACTATTTATTTACATGTTTTACATTTTTTCTAACCTTTTTTATTTATTTTTTACTACTATTTTCTATTCTGCTCTGTACCAACGAGGTACCGAGCAGAATAGCCAGCCGAATGCCGCTCAGCAGCATTCGGCTATTCACTCACAGTCGTTCGTCCCCTAAGTGAATAGAGGCAAACGGCAGCGAGTGAGCTGCCGGAGCTTCGGCTCAGTAGATCCAGATGTTGGATCGGCTGAGTCGAAGTCATTCTGCACTTCGGATCAGCCGAACATGCAGAGCATTTTCGGCTGAGCGAAGGGCCGAAGGTAGCCTATGTACGGCTGATTTCAGCCGATATACGGCTGAAATCAGCCATACTGGGCCGAAGTGAATAGTCGACCGTTGTTTGGCTCACTTCACTTTGGCTCGGTTATTCACCTCTGGCAGCTTAGTGAATAACCCTGTTAATGTTTGCTATTGTGGAGGAATGTTTCATAAAGTAGAAAGCTGCATCCCTGCCCTAGAGGCACACTGGATACCTTGCTTAGAATGACTATAAGGGAGCATGGGAAGTTTTTATAAGTGTAGCTAAAGCCAAAATCTTTTTTTGTTTTGGATAGAGTGTTGAGGAGTTAGAAGCCCTGTTAGGTTTGTATTACTGTGTCCAGGTTAACGCAGAAATAAAAAAACTACTCTTGCAGTGGGGCTTGCTCCTGTACTGCAAGGGTTAAATGGTAGTTTTTGCCTAGGGTATCATTAAAGGAGATGTATGGGGAAAGTAAAACATACTCTCCCCAAAACCTAGAGCTGCTGTGGGACACTGCTGCTGTCCCACACAGGCTCCAAAGACCGAGAGCTGACTGATGACATGATTACGGATCAGTCAGGTTTTGGTCTCCGCTCCCAGAGTAGAGCAGTGGCTGTCCCCCCTTCCCTCTCTGTTCATTAGCAGTCACTGAAGCAGACAGGGGAGGGGTGTGGACGGCTGGCGCTGGCGGTCAGCCATGCATAGAGAGCAAAGCCACCTGTCATGTAGCTTGGGTAGATCTCGACAATGTTGTCAGGATCCTTCTTAGCTGTGGCACGCTGTGCGCTGTCAGCTGATAGCAGGCATTAGCCTGCTATATGCTGACTTTGGGTCCTAGGAGTGTATTAGTATTGGCTCTTGCATTTAGACACCAGGTCCCATACTCCATGAAAGTCTGCATATTCCTGCTGACTGAGCCCCAGGTGCAGTGTACGGCCTCACACTAAAGTCAATGGTTGTATGCTTTTGTCTGCGATTATATGTTGGCACTACATAAATCCGCACATGTGTATGGATGTAAAATCTCAGATTCACCCAGTCTGCATCCAAAATGTTACGTCCATGTGCATGGCGGGTTTACGCAGTGCCGGCATATGCATATTGACAACAGTATAGAGCCATTGACTTTAGTGTGAGGTTGTACGCTGCAACCTGGGCTCAGCTAGCAAGAATACAACGGCTTTTACAGAGTACAGGAGTCGGCGCCCGTGTGCAAGAGCCCTAAATGTACTCCTGTGGTCCAAAAGGGAAGTATAGCAAAAGGTTTGGCTTCTCTTTTAAAAAGCAGTTTTTCTTACTTACCTTTTCCCTCACTTCCCCGGCAGCTGGTGCTCTCCTGTTCCGGCTGATGCTCCAGGTTGTGGGTGGACCCTGGTGACCACCCTTTCAATGCAAGACTGCTTGTCCTGCATTATACGTGATGACATTGGAGTGAAATGAATGGACAGAGCATCATGGAGAGGTAGCTTTGGGGACAGGTAGCACAGAGAGGAGGGAACCTGCAGGAGCGAGAGATTGGGTATAGAAAAGTGCCATTAATTGGTACCCTAGGCAAAAATGAGCATGTAACCCTTGCAGTGCGTGGTAGCCCCACTGCAAGGGTAGTTTGTTCATTTCCCTGGAGTTCAGCTTTAACCTCTTCGGGACCAGCATGTTACCCTCTTCCTGTCCAGACAATTTTTCAGGTTAGTTTCACATACTTTCTAGCATACAAAATGTTAAATAAAAATGCCAGGACAGTGCCAACACCCCCAAAATGACCCGTTTTTGGAAAGAAGACCCTGCAAGGTGATCTTATTTTATTTTATGCGTGCTTATTCTTTTAAAGTTGCCCACTGAAGCCAAGTCTTCCGTGGAAGAGAGTTGAAAGGATGAAAAGCTGAAAGGTTGAAATGTTCTTGCACTGAAATTGCATTGTGTGGCTTGATGTCACGGATAAACTTGAACCACCCTCCCCAAAACAATCCCACAATTATTGGTGGTCAGTGGCACTTTAAACTTCCCCCAAACAACAAACCCACAATCACTGGTGGTCATTGGCATTTTAACCCCCATTATTAGTGCTCAGTGGCACTTTACTACCCTCTAAAATGTGTGAGTGTACTAAGATGTACATACAGGTACGTCCACTCACCGTAGTAATGGTGCCATCTGGACGCTTAGCTACAATGGTCAGACGTAGAGTGGTTAAGGAGATTTACCATCTCTGTTTGTCCCGGTGACCATTTTCGAATGGGACTGAATGTAAGGGAAAATCCAAAACTTTGAGTTGTCACTAGAACAGAAATGGAGCAGAAAACTTCCAATGGGGACACTGGTTTCTGGTTACAAGAAGGGGGAATTTCACTTGATTTGCAGAGATGTCCTCTTACTTTCTGTTGTGTGCCATTTGGGACACAAATGGAAAAGAAAGCCAATGCGGTTTTATCTTTTCCTTACTCTATTCAACATGAAAAAAAAACGTTTTTGAATCAAGTGGTCTGACTGATTTTACTATCCAGGAGTTGCTCCTCATATCCCCTGTCCCATTCCAATACAAACCCATCACACCCATCTGTGGATAAAACTGTAACTACAACAATGGGAGATATGCTGCTCTAGCTCATCCTTGATGGACAATAGATGTTCCAGAACTGGTTTCCTTACACTGATCAGCTGTTTCACGGCATCTTCTGTGAGACACGTGTAGTTCTTCAGGAATTGTAGTTTGTGGTCCTCTGTTTTCACCTTCACTTTTGTCTCTGCCTCTTGCTCCAGCATCTGAAATATCATCGCCCCGGCCAGCAGGTACATGCAAAATACAAACGCCAGCAGGACATTTTGAAATAGCCCAGAAAACATGTTGCTGCTCTTATTCCCAGTGCTTCTTATTTCAGTCTGTTTCCATCACCAGTACTTGAGCTGACTGTGAGAATCAAGAAAGTCAGTGCCCTAGAGAGAATTTTCCTTTATGCTTGGAGGGTCAAGGACCTGTCCTTCCCAATGGGAATCCGTTTATGGAAGCAAAGAATTTCACGGGGAGAGCTAGGGAGGAGCCATTCACTCTCCCTGTAAACTCTTTGTACTTTGAATTCTGACACAGTTTACATTTCCTGCAGATATATACAGGGCAGAGCAATTATTACGCAATATGTTTAAACAACACGTACTGAAAAAGATTTGCCTTATTATAGCTTGCTGGGTGTATCTTCTTTTTATTGTATCTGGCAATGGGATTGACGCCATCTGCTAACGAAGTCCCATATTATCTGTGGATTTATGAAGGACAAAAGAAAATTTAGTAGAAGAGCCCGGTCACTTATTGCAAAACTCAAAATGAAAGGTACACGTGTACATAACAATCATTGAAGCACTTTGGCAGTTGTGTTTATTTATTTTATGTGTTTATATAGTGCCGGCAATACAAGCCTTCGGGCTAGTTTTACAACCAGAGTCGCACAGTAAAGATGAGGTATTATTTACAGTTTTGGTTTATGGAAGGAAACCTGAGCAGCACCTGGGGAATAATATACAAACACAGCAAGAACATAAAAGGATTTCCAACCCAAATCTACCTTGTGAGAAAAAAAATATGGTGAGAAGGGACTAAAGCCATCAAAAAGCCCAGGCTCTAATCCATGCATAGCACAGTAGCACATTCTTGAAACAGAAGGTATTCACATGTCTAAGATGTCACAGAAATTATATTATTATTCCTCATTTCAGGACTGGGTGGAGCCATGTAAACCAATGCTTTACACCTCTTTTGCTAGATACACATCTATAACCACTGGTGTATAGTGCAAATATTGTCTACTATTATAGAGCTATTTATTGCAAACTGCATACAGATGTTTCACTTTTTGGCCGTCATCAGTACAGAGTATGGAAACCATAGATTCTATAGAGTAGGGTTTAGTAAAAAGAAAAAAGTAATATCTCTTCTCCATCACTGTCCCCTGCAGACACTCCGCTCCAGATGTCTAATGCTGCTCGTCTTCCAGATTGAATGATGGCAATCACCATTTAACTCACTTCCTGTGAGCCCAGCTTGTCATGGAAATACCCATGGGGGGGGGGCATCATAACACAGGCTGAGCTCACAGTACTCCTGGACTAAGCGTCATGTGACATCACCAATTAAACTTGTAAAACATTAAATCACACTGCGCAAACCTATAAAAGTCATCTGTAGGGGTCTGCATGCTGATATGAAATCATCTGACATTCATGAGCTAAACAATCATATTTTTCTTTTGCTTACAATTTCTTATTTTCCACTTCCTGGTCGACTTTGGCACAAATGATGTAATGTGCGTTGTATCCTAGGAAGGTTACATCAGCAGAGCATTTCTGGGAAATCTCATCTGTAATCTCACGAGATCTCAGGAAAAAGCATTTTCCTTCCCTGAGATGATGTGCATGATCACATGTCCTAGTCACATGTGCCAGAGTTCCCGGAAGTAAAGAGAGATCTAGTAACCTCTCCTTTGTTCAAATGGCCACTGTCAGCAGACTGGCGAAGCAAAGAAAAATGAGGTATGCAAAAAATAAAAAGCCGGGAATTATCCAGAAGTATCTGTTTGTAGATTGGCTTTATTAAACATTTCTAAAGGTGTCTTGTTATTTTGAAGATATGGATAAGGTTCCTCTTTAAGGAAGTAATGCTAAGCCCAGGAGACAACCCCAGCCTGCTTATTAAACAGTGACCAAGCAAATGCCCACTAATGTGACATCTCTCTGCTCTCCTCCTGTAAGCAAACCTCCAGTGTTATGCAGATAGAACTGTGCACTGCACCCTGGGCTGTATTGTGTGAAGTACGCCAGGCCCGAACCTGCTGTACGTCAATCACCCGTGACTATACACAGTTCTGAGCCGAGCGAGCTGTCACAAGGATGTGGCGATCCCACTTTCAGCCTCACCCTGCACAGAGATTTCCTAGATCCCGGGACAACAATCTCAGGCCAGCAATCATCACTAGGTTTGGTTAACTCCGCAGTTAACCCTTTACACACCAATAATCAGCTGCCCCCACATGCTTTAACAGAAGCACGCATCGTTTCCAGCAAGTGTGGTGGAAATTCAAAACACTTTAACAAAGCCTATGATATTGCTGTCCTCTCAGACAGGATTATGACAGGTCTCACTATACAGTAGCGCTCTTCACAGAGCCAAGGATACTTTAAGTTCTTGTTTAGAGCGTAGAGAGAAGCTTAACAATTTTTAAGATCGTCCTTTAATAAAAGAAATGGTGCTGAAAAATATACAGAAAAATATATTAATAAAGAGAGATAAAATACAGGTGAAACTCGAAAAATTCGAATATCGTGCAAAAGTTAATTTATTTTACTAATGCAACTTAAAAGGTGAAACTAATATATGAGATAGACTCATTACATGCAAAGCAAGATAGTTCAAGCCGTGATTTGTCATAATTGTGATGATTATGGCTTACAGCTCATGAAAACCCAGATCCACAATCTCAGAAAATTTTTGGCAGTGTGGGCAGGTGCCAAGTCCTGCTGGAAAATGAAGTCAGCATCCCCATAGAGCTCGTCTGTGGAAGAAAGCATGAAGTGCTCCAAAATCTCCTGGTAGACGGCTAAGGTGCATTAGTGAAATAAATTAACTTTTGCACGATATTCTAATTTTCAGAGTTTCACCTGTATATGACAACAGTAAAATGAACAAAATACAAAAAAGAGAATACTTAAAAGTCCTGGGTTTATGAGTTCTGGCAGAGTCCAGAGTTCAAAAAGAAAAAAAAGGAGTCTGAGTGGTTCTTCTCCAAGCAAGACTTGCACAGATGATTTCCATATATTAAAGGGTAACTCTTCTGGGATGTTACAAACTTCTTTATGATGCAAGAGTTCCTTTCCTTGATGTTACGAACAAGAGCCTTCTTTAGCTGCCCTGCAGCATCTTTTTGTCAGCCCTCTCGGGGGTGTCACAGAGCCAGCCCCTAAGGCAGAGCAGGAGAGGGGAAGCAGGGGGGCTAAACCTTTACGAGGTCCTCCTCTGCTCCTTCCAAACGGTTAATGTTCATTTTATTAATCATTTTTCTCTAGGATCATGAGCTAATCCTGAATAGGCTATGGATTATTTTGCTTCATTAAATTAGCTTCTAATCAAGTCTAAATTCGGTAGTTGTATGGTATATGCTTTGTCAAGGCAGTTTAATGTTACTTATTTGGCCTCAAAACACCATAATGGGCCCATTCTTGGTACGTATGTTCTCATCTTGACGAGACCCAGCTATTTGTGCCATTAATTTTACAATTTCACTCTCCAATTCCAAGTTATGAAATTAAGTTGATAATGTAACTCTGTTTTTATGACTATAGAGTGAGTACTGAGTCACCTGGGTCGTTAACTCTACCAGGCCCACTTGTGTTTCTATAAACCTGGCAACTGCTAATGGATGGGTGCTCTGCCATTCTGCTTGTTGACTTTAATTAGATACAGCCATAAAAAGGGTTAAGAGGGTGATTCTGGTATCTCAGTTGTTAATTAGGACTAAAGACTATAAAGATAACAGGCCAGATTAGCAGATATTTTATAACTTCACTGATCAGTAGAACAAGAGGAGATAGATGTCCATCATTAGGAATTGAATAGACAGCTTGAGCCTGGAGATTGAAGGATCCCACACCTTCCAGGTTCTTGGGCAGATAAGAGTGGGCAGCTGTGGACCTTTCGGCTGCAAACCACATCAGGGCACACAAGATCCATATACACTGGGCTCCTCATGGTCTGAGAAACATTTGTCCTTCTCATAGATCAGAGGAATTGTTGCTCATCTTTAATAAAATCCAATATATCAGTCATAGGAAGATATTACATATTACTAGAGCTGCAGCTAACAATTATTTTCAAAATCGATTAGTTAGCCGATTATAAAGTTCGATTAATCAGTTAATCGGATAAAAAATAACATACATTTTAAAAAATGGCTCCAGTGATGGACTACTAGTTTGTATTGAGTGTAGTCCATCACAGGAGCAAGCTTGGAGCGGGGGAAGTAAAAAAGAAACAAAAGTGTGGTGTGCAATATAGTGAAATGAAAAGTGTAAAATTATACAGCAATGAATGCAGAATGGCACCGGCTATAGAGGACTACAAAACCCAGCAATAGTACATTATACAGCGCAATGCAGAATACCACCAGCTATAGAGGAATACAACAAATCCCAGCAATAGTACATTATACAGCACAATGCAGAATACCACCAGCTATAGAGGCATACAACAAATCCCAGGAATAGTACATTATAGCTGGTGGTATTCTGCATTGCGCTGTGTAATGTACTATTGCTGGGTTTTGTAGTCCTCTATAGCTAGTGGTATTCGACATTGCACCGCTGTCTAATGTATTATTGCTGGGATTTGTTGTACTCCTCTATAGCTGGTGGTATTCTGCATTGCGCTGTATAATGAATTATTGCTGGGTTTTGTAGTCCTCTATACAGCGCAATGCAGAATACCACCAGCTATAGAGGAGTACAACAAATCCCAGCAATAGTACATTATACATACAGTGTATAATGTATTGCTGGGATTTGTATTCCTATGTATAATATACAGCACAATGTACCATCAGCTATAGAGGAATACAAATCCCAGCAATACATTATAGAGCACCATGTGTGGGAAAGTGCAGGCTTACCTGTCTATCGGTAGCTGTCATCCCCCCACACCTGCTCCTCCTTACTACTTCTGCCCACGCCCCTGTGCCGATATTGGATGTGGGCGGGCGGTGGACGTGAGGTGGGGAGGAGGTGCGGCGCACAGCGTGTGTGGAGCCGTAAACAGGACCAACCAATCAGAAGCCGATTAATCGATGATTTAAAAAGTTGACCATTTTCTCAATAATCGATTATAATCGATTGTCGATTAGTTGTTGCATCCCTACATATTACAAGCTACGTGTCCATATAACATTGTCGATTTTTGGGTCTATACAATCATCTAGAGACCGACATAACGGTTATATGGGGCCTGCCTGCAGGAGCCATGCAGTGAGTGGACTTGTTGCAATCGGGCTGATGCGCTGGTGTCGGAAATCCTGACGACGATCCAGGCATCAGAACTAGCAGGTCCAAACAACCTATGGCCACTTCAGGAGGCAGAACATATCCTCCTAGCAGGTAGGGAGACACTTCCAGAGGTGGATGGCCAAAGGGGTAGAGCCCATCCTATATCCATATCAAAGTCATAAAATATCTTTTGATATTC